ATAAAAAGCTAGAGTAAAGATTGAACATGATAAGTAGAGACATGGTTGAGATGAAAAATACACTGGATGGGATTAACAGCAGATTAATCATTGCAGATGAAAAGATTAATGTACTCGAAGGTATAGTAATAAATATTATCCAAAATGAAACACACTAACCAAAAGGGAAATTAAGAAAACAATCTCATTTACATTAGCAACAAAAAGAGTAAAATACTTTGGTATTAATTTAACCAAAGATGTGAAAGGCTTGTAAACTGAAAACTATATGACATTGATGAAGGAAACTTAAAAAAGACACAAATAAATGAAAAGACATTCCATGTTTGTGGATTGGAAGATCTAATATTGTGAAAATGTTCATCCTACCCAAAGTAATCTACACATTCAATGCAATCCCTGTCGAAACCCCAATGACATTTTTTTACAGAAGTTGAATGAACAATCCTGAAATTCATAGGGAACCACAAAAGACCCAAATACCCAAAGCAATCTTGAGCAAGAAGAACAAAGCTGGAGGTATCATACTTCCTGACTTCAAATTATGTTACAAAGCTAAAGTAATTAAAACAGTATGGTACTGGCATAAAAACAGACATATAGACCAATGGAACAGAACAGAGAACCCCAAAACAAACCTATGCATTTTTTTTATTATATAAGTTTCAAGTGTACAGTATTATAATTCAACATCTATATACACTACAAAACGATCACCACCACAAGTCTAGTTACCATCCATCACCACACAGTTGACCCCCTTCGCCCATTTCACTCAAGTTGTATATCTTAAGTATATACAATTTTTATGTCAATGATATCACAATAAAGCTCTTAAAAAAAACTGAAGGAAGAACACATCACAAACAGATGCATACTACAAGGAATGTTAAAAGAGGTCCTTTTCAGATAGTAGGATAATTTTACTGATGAAAACATGACTTACAGACAAAAAAAACAAAAGGCACTGAAAAGCAGTGAAAATATATAAGGATAAATATAAAAGATATTTCTCTTGTCATTTAAATTTCTTTTAAAATTTGATTATTTAAACAAAAGTAATTATGACATATGGAATTTATAAGATATGTAGAAGTCAAATATGTGACAGCAAAAGCACAATGGCTGAGAGGAGAGAAATGAAAATATAGTATTGTAAGGCTCTCACATATGTGAAGTGGTGTAATAGCATTTGAAGGTGGTCTGTGATGGGCTCCAGATGTATCCTATAAACCTGGAAGGAACCCCTAAAATAACAGTTATAGCTAATCAGCCAACAATGGAGATAAAATGAAATCATCAATAATAATTAATTCAAAAGAAGCCAGGAAAAGACGACAAAGAGCACAAAGAACAGTTGGGACAAATAGAAAACAAATAGCAAGATAGTAGACAATCTTAACCATATTAACAATTACCTTAAATATAAATAATTTAAATACTCAAATTAAAAGACAGAGAATGTCAGATTGGATAAAAGAGCAAGTCCCAACTACATGCTACCTACAAAACATTCACTTTAAATATAAAGACATAAATAGGTTTAAAGTAAAAGGATAGAAAAAGATATACCATGCTAACACTAGTAAAAAGAAAGCTGAAGTAGCTATATTAATGTCAGACATAGTATATTTCTGAGCAAAGAATAATGCCAGAGATAAAGATATAGATTGATGTAAAGATCGATTCATTAAAAGGATGTAACAATCCTACATGTTTGTGCACCTAATAACAGAGCTTCAAAATACATGAAACAAAAAATGATAGAACTGCAAGGAGAAATCAACAAGACTACAATTACAGTCAGAGATTTTAACAGCCTTTTCTCAATAATTGATAGAACGAGTAGAATAAAATCAGCAAAAAAACAATAGAGTTAACACCATCAACCAATTTGACCTGATCGACCACTCAACAACAGCAGAATATACATTTTTTGTAAGTGCACCCAGAACACTTACCAGGATAGACAATAAAACATGTTCTTTGACCATTATGGAATATTTTTAGAAATCAATAATAAAAAGATATCTGCAATATTATTGGAACTAGAAAATCTGTAAAATATTTGGGAAGTAAATAATACACTTCTTATTATTCAAAGATCAAAAAAGAAATGAAAATGGAAATTTGTAAATATTTTTTAATTGAATGAAAATGAATATAGAACATATCAAAATTTGTAGGATGTCACTAAAGCTGTATTTAGGGGAAAATTCATAGTATTAAATGCTTATATTAGAAGAGAAAAAGGTATTAAATCAATGCTTTCAGCTTCCACCTTGAGAAACTAGAAAAAGAAAAGCAAATGAAACCTAAAGTAGGCAGAAGAAAGGGAATATAAATCAGAATGGAAATCAATGAAATAGAAAACAAAAGCAAAAATATTTAGAGAAAATCAATGAAACCAAACACCAGTTCTTTGAGATGGTGGATAAAACTGATAAGGTTTGGGCAAGATTGATCAGGAAAAAGAGAGAAGACACATATGACCAATATCAGCAATAAGAAATGTGACATCACTACAGATTCTATAGATTCTAAAAGGATAGTAAGGGAATATTAGGAACAACTTTATGACAATAAATTTGACAACTTAGATGAAATGGACAAATTCCTTGAAAAACACAAACTACTCAAGTTCACACAAGAAAAAAAGAGATAACCAGAATATCCTGATATCTATTGTAAGGAAATAGATTTAGGGGTCGACCCGGTGGCGCAAGCGGTTAAGTGTATGCACTCCGCTACAGTGGCCTGGAGTTCGCCGGTTCAGATCCCGGACGTGCACTGATGCACTGCTTGGCAAGCCATGCTGTGGCAGCATCCCCATATAAAGTGGAGGAAGATGGGCACGGATGTTAGCCCAGGGCCAGTCTTCCTCAGCAAAAAAAGAGAAGGATTGGCAGATGTTAGCACAGGGCTGATCTCCTCACACACACACAAAAAAGAAATAGATTTATAGATAAAAACTTTCCTGCAAAGAAACTCCAAGCCCAGATGGCTTCACTGATGAATTCTATAAAACACTTAAGGAAAAAATAATATTACTTCTACACTAACTCTTCTAGAAAATGAGAAGAGAAGGGAATAAATCTCAACTCATTCTATAAAGCGAGCATTACCCTCATACCAAAGCAGACGAAGACATTGCAGGAAAAGAAAACTACAGACCAATATTCTTCACAAATATAGATGTAAAACTTTGAAACAAAATTTTAGCCAATCAAATTCAACAATATATTAAAAGGATAAACATTATGACCAAATGAGGTTTATTTCAAGAGTTTAGAGTTGCTTTAACGTGAAGGAAAAAAATATGATCATCTCAATAGATGTATAAAAAGCTTTTGACGAAATCCAATTCATATATTCATCACCACAGATTAAATATTCTGAATCACAATCCTGTCACTCTTTTGTTTAAAACTTTCCCATTGCTTTCCATTGCCCATAGTGAAGTCCACATTCCTGTCTGGTATTCAAGGCTCACTGTGATCTGACCCCAGCCCTGGCCCCTACAGCCCTGTTACACCTCTTCATGCACTGCTCAGTGTAGCCATGTTGTAAAATGCCTTGTACTCGATCTTAGCTTTTCTGCTTCCTTCACTATGTTTATGCTGCTCCTTTGCTCTAGGCTAGTGGTTCTCAACCCTAGCTGTGCATTATAATTACCATAAGATGTTTAAAAAACAAAAAATGATGCCCAATTCTACGACTAGAAATTCTGACTCAAAGAGTCTGGGGTATGGTCAGGACATTAAAAACTCCCCAGGTGATTCAATTGTGTAGGTTGAGAACTAATGGTCTAGGATGTTCTTATAGTCTCCAAATTTGCATATCCAAAATTTACTTACCTTTCCAAGATATTCTAAATGATAACTCCTTCACGAAATCTTCCCAGATCATTCTCTGCTGGAAGAAAGCTCTCCTCTGAATGCCTCGATACTTTATTTGCCTCTCTCTTGAGTCTTACCCGCAGGTCTTCCCTGATCTATCTGAGTGAAAGTTCTTAAAACCATATTCACAGGTCTTTTTTTGAATTATTGCCCCAGACGAGTCATCATTTTTAACATAGTAAGTACTGAGTGAATAATTTGATGAAGTGTTTTTAGATGGTTGAGAAAATACTTAAGTATTCACTACAGTTAAATGGTCATAATGGTTGATTTTAGGAAATCTGGCTTAACGGACCTAATTGTCTGACCCTCAACTCTGGCTAACAACATCTTTTAGCCCTCTAACAACCTGTGTTTATTACTAACAATTCACAATTCAATCTGTTGTTCATGCAACAAGAAAAGCAGGGTTAACTAAATGTATACGTGACTCAGCTCTTTTATTTTAGTTTTAATATCAACTTTCTTCCTGATCAATTCTTTTTGCCATAGATACTAACAACCATAAAAATGGATCAATGAGGGGCTGGCCCCGTGGTGTAGTGGTTAAGTTTGTGCATTCCACTTTGGCAGCCCGGGCTTCACAGGTTTGGATCCCAGGCGCAGACCTATGCACTGCTTATCAAGCCAGGCTGTGGCAGGCGTCCCACATAAAATAGAGGAAGATGGGCACAGATGCTGGCTCAGGGCTAATCTTCCTCACCACAAAAAAAAAAAAGGATCAATGAGTTAAAAGTCTACCTTTCTCTTTCTGTGTTGAACTCGAGAGCCTAGTAGAGGAAAAAAAGATACTAAATCCATCTGAATGATTTGCCAATATTAAAAAAGCTCCTTGAATAATTGAGTATATTTTATTTGTAGGGATTATGTAGTTCTGTTTTCTCTGGCATCTTTGAAGAATTAACACTCCTTGTTTGGTTCCCTAGAAAGTTGTATTGATTCCTTTTAGCTGCTCAGAACATGAAACAATTATATTTCAATCAATTGCTTAGGGTTTTAGATGAAATCATGGATCTAACAAAAGAGTAGAACTTTATTTCCTACTGATTTGTTGCTCCCACCACAACAGAAGATACTAAATAGTTCAAATAGAATATGTACCTGGATCTAGAGGGGCCCACTTCTTCAAGAATCATAGAAAAGTGCTTCCAAGTTTTCTCGGCATGGAATGAGCGTGCAATAAGTTTCTTTGAATCACCAAACAAAGATAGGAAATAATCCTCTCCTTCCCCAGTCACAGCTGGCTCAGGAGCAAGGACTGACAGAGGCTGTTTCTTTGGAATTATGGAGCTGTCAACTCCTTTCAAAGAAACCAAAGAGGGAAGCAACAGAGAGAGAAGTAAATAAAAGGACATTACCCAAAGCTACTCTCTTTATTCTTTGCTTCTGCAAAACTACATTAGTTATACATTTTACTGTCACTGTCAAACTCAATGAGGATAGTTAAAAGCTTTAAACCAAAGTCTATAAAATAATCAGTAAGTGATTATTTTTAGTGACACTCAATTCCTAGAGATTATTTCAGTTATCTTAAACTATCAATTATATCATCAGAATAATGACTGTTTAACTGATTATTTATTTGTCCTAGAAGCATCATAAATTTTTGAGTAGGTAAAATATTTGAGTCTCAAATTTGGATATGTTATATATAAACACAACTTTATTCTAGTTCATCTTAGCTATTCTCCTCAAATTACTACCCATAAATTAAAGCTTTTCAAATGAGTCATTTTCTACCAATGGTTAGTACTTCTGCCAGGAAAAGACTTAAGTTTCCTCTAATCAACTAAAATACTTTATTAGAAAGATAAAGTAATGCTTAATCAGATTTGGGTATCCTTTTGGAAATTTGCTCTTTTAAAATTCTTACCACTATGATTCAAATATGAAATAGGTTTCAGGATTTTGCATAGAGAGAACCATGCTGGATAAATCTAATGATGTGTTTGTAAAGAGAGACTAACACTAAAGAGAGGCATCATGATAAGTGGATAGAGCAATGCATTTTGGATTTAGACAGACCTGCAATTGTATCCCAGCTCTGCCATTTACTAAGCGAACTGATTTAAACTTTCCAATTCTCAGTTGTCCTGAACCTAGAATAGGGATAATACTACATTGTGTAAGGCGATGTGAGGATTGAAGACAATGTAGGTAAGTGTCTAGCACAGTGTCTGGTATGTAGCAGGTACTCAATAAATGATAGCTATTATTGTAGTACAGAGGCTTTGGTTAATGTGACTCTGGGTCCAAAATCATCAAAGGATTAAGACAATCTAGAGTTTTTTTTAATATTCTTGTATCTTTAACAAAACCAAAGCAAGGTGATAGATGGAAAGTAATAAATGCGTAGTTCCTAAAGAGGATTCCTTAAAGTGTTTTGTTTAGAAGAAATGTTTGGAATTAAATTAGTTCATTCTCAGTCAAGTGTTTACTTAACCCTTAAATTCCCTTGGGGAAGGAGAATATATAGCATACTTTTTAACAGCTCATCCCGAGGGATGAAAACCTTTGTATTCTAAAAGGAAAAGAGACACATTAATTTTAGTCCCAGTTGTTATTTCATCTAAAGGAAATGAACCAATGCAACAAGTCTCAGCAGACCCAGACATCTATCTACAGAAGCAGAATCAACAGGTACTGAAGGAGAAGACTACATCTCAGCTCAAGTCTCATCTTGCAAGGGGAAGCCAATATATTTTGTTTTATCCCCCTAATACTAGTAGTTTTCACAGTTTAACTGAAATATAGAACATATGCCATGATGATACAGTGCCAAAGGATGGAAAATATTCCCTCCTTAGATCTAAAGTTTGTATTTGCAATTTTAAACATATGGATTTTGGTCATTGCTAATGGTCAGTGTGAACTTAGGAGGCTTCTTTGAAAAATGTATCTCAGGCATACAAACAACGAAGCACAGGGAATATGACAATAACGGCAGCAGGTCAAAATCCTACTGTGTCCTACATATAACACTGTGTCAAAGGCTTAGGAAAATACCAGAAACAAAATGAAATATAGATAAGAAGCAGCCAGGCTGTAAATGTCCACAGAATAGTAGAGGAAAACGGAGGCATCAAGTAGTCGTGTGTGTGCGCGCGCTACCAATTTTGAAACTTGTTAGTTGACTGGCAACTGAAATACAGACCCCAAATCTAGCCTTTTCTATGAGAAGGTGCTTACCAATATGTTCAGATTCACAACTAAGTCTTTTGAGTACTTACACTGTGCTAGGTGATTTTCATAAATATCTCATTTAATCCTTAGGATAGCCCTATGAAGTTGATATTTTAATCCCCATTTTGCCGTTGTGGAAAATGGAACTCTGAGATGCTAAATACCTCACCTAATGTCTCACACTGTAGGGAGTAGAAAGGTAGTTTGGACCTAGGTCCTTTGTTTCCAAGGACAGTGGTCTTTTTAGTAAACCGTGATCATATACCCTCAAAGTTCCCTAAACAAGGTAAGGAAGAAACATCCTATATCGTGCGTATTGCTGAATGCATTGTTGACAACTGCCAAAATTTTACTTCTTCCTACCGTAGTACTGTTTTCATTTTCCTCTCCTCCAAATTCTGTATTGTTTCTCCCTTTTCTCTCCACCACTTTATTGCCTACTTTATTTTTCTTCCTTCTCTTATCTATCTGTCTCTTTCTTACTTAAGCCATAAGTCTCCTAAAGGCACAAAATACACAAGACATTGCTTAATCTTGCTGGTAGCGTTCAGAGGAAGGGCAGTTAAGGATACACGTTAGAATTTTAATTATCTAGCAACTCTAGAGCATCCAGGCAGTCAACCCATGAGCGATTATGATAATTCAAGATATTTTAATCATGGGGGTGATATATTTGGCCACATACATTTATGTGACCTGAATATGACTCCAGTGCTAGGATCAATGGTGACCATAGTCAACTGTCTCTGCATATGACATTAAGAAATTAGTATTATTGGAGATAAATAATAAAACATCATTCTGGCTTCCAGGCACATAAAGAATCTATCGGACTATATACTTTATAAATAGTCTAAAACTTTTGGTACATGTTTTGCTTACCCAAGCTCTTTTCTGATCGGGAACGGCTCACTATGATAGATTTAAGAGACTTTTTTCCAATCGTTGATATAGTTTCTCCACTAAAATGAGGGCTAGACAGAAAGCAACTGAGAAGCATTTCATGAGATAATGACCGTGACAATGGCAGTGTTGTGGTTTCTGAATCTGTCGTCGTTGGAAAAAAATGTACTAAAGATCGCTGTGTCTTTGGGAGATCGTCATGTGTATCTTCTCTTCTGGGTACAAAAATCAGCATAATCAACTAAGTAAGAAAGTCAAAATTAATAGACTATGAACATAAGAAGCTTAAACTATCATTATTACCCAGAGTTCTGCTTTTCAAAGGTATTATGCCTCTAACATAAGCACAAGAACATCTTATATGTTCTACAATCTAAATAAAACACTTTAGTGTCAAGTCAAGACATGCTTTTCTTTTTTCTACTTAAAAATCAATAAATCTCTACTGTAGATGGTTTTAGGAAAGTGTAAAAGTAGAAGGAAGAAAGTAAAAATCACCATAATGCCACCAACCAAAAAATTTACCATTTCCTCCCAAGCTTTTAATGCATTTTTTACTCAAAGCTGAGGCTGTATAAACCATTTATATCTCACTTTTATTACATCATATTTCCCCTTTCCACTAATATAAAAAACATTATTATAATTCTTGTTTAATATATCATTTACTACACTTTTTTCCTTTAATTCCTGCTGCTGCTTAACTAATTTTCCTATATTTATAAAGATTCTAGAGTTAATGTCTGCTTTCAAATACACTTTTCAAGTAACTATAAATACAATACACGTGTATATGTGCCTGTGTACTTGTGTTTGTGCGTGTGACTGTTGAACAGCAGAAAAGAGGGAGAAGAAAGACTTAATTTCCAGGCATTATTTTTATAAGTAAATCTTACTATGAACAAAGATTTTCCTTTCTTTCTTTTTATAAATATAAAAGCATTTGTTAACTAGTGCACAACCATTTAAACAAAGTCCCTAAACTACCGTACGCTTATTTCACAAGTAAACCAATTCTCATGGCGTGGCTCGTGAAAAGGCTTATGACAGCTCCATTTTATGAGTGACATTGAGACTCAGTAACTTCAAAGCAATTCGTGTGTGTGTGTGCGTGTGTGTGTGTGTGTTTAATGCTTGAATTGTGAACAAGGTCCTGGAGTCCAAAACCCTCTAGCTCTCTGAAAAACCGGATAAATGGCCAGCTCTAGCACCCCCTTTCTGGGGGCCACATGTCTATCCACTATAAATTAGGAGCTAAGTATTTTGCCTCCATGGATTGTCTTTATTTTGATCTCTTTGTTTTCCAGAGTTCCTGTGAAGTTATTTCAGCCAGTTTTCTGTTTGTTTTGTTTCAAGTGTTTCCATAAGGGAACAAGGGCCTGGAGCTTCCTCATCTGCCATCTTGCTGACGTCAGTCTCGATCTCTTTGTTTACCAAGAGGTGTTCACAATCATTTTGTTCTACAATTTGTAAGTTCTTTCATCAGACAGATTATATCTGGAGAGCTTTGTACTCAAAATCACATTTCTCTAAATGTACCTCTCAGAAGGCACAGGCATCTCAGGCAATTTTTTAAAATATAATTAAATGTCATTTGCTTTGAAAACTGCATTAGGACTAACCCAGTACTTATTAGGCTTGAGCATTTGCCATTCTGCTGACACCCCGGCACTTGTCTTTGTCTGGAAAGCTCTAACCCATGAAGATACGCTCTTGAGTACGACTGTGGTGCTGGTGCAAAGGAGACTATAGAGGTCGATTGTCAAATTACAAATATTTCATCTCTGTCCAAAATGAGACAGCATCATATGACATGACTTCTCCCTGACACTGGCTGGAATAAGCAGGAAAAGTAATTTCTCTTTTAAAGTTCCATACATCTGGGTTTCATTACAAACTGGCTATATCTTTTCAGTATGTTCATTTTATAAGCTCCAAATTTTTTTCTTCCTCCAGTAAAACAATAGCATTTCCAAATAAATTTAATTCCAAAAGATATTCCCAATAAGCCTTCACAAACATGATCAAAGAAATCTTGCCTAGGGCCACAGGGTATTCTATTTTTGTAGTTGAACAAGAAATTTCTAATGACTGCACACCTTTGGAAGAGCTGAAACATGTCAGAAAGAGATCTGTGTGATGTAGACCATTATCTGAACCCTGCACTCACTGACCTATTAGACTCCTTTTGGAAGATGACAGAATTTTCCTAGTGCTTAGTTAACTTTCCCTTTAGCATATGGAATTTTCCAAGCCCCTTCTTGTTATTTTGCTTCCTCTGTAATTAATTAGCACTAAACCAGGGGTGGTTATAAAAACTCAATTCCAGCATTTCAGTGTCATTTTGGGAGGTGCTGCATTGGTAATCCTGACAACAGTCATTTCTCAGATGACTTTTTTTTTTTTTTTTTAGATGACTTCTAAGAACAAATATTTAAAAAGTGAGTTTGAACTAAACAGTAAACACAGGACATCTAGATGCAAAGTAACATTAGCTTTAAATTATGTATACTCAATACTAGAAGTCATTTTTTAGAAAACATTGGAAAACTAATGCTAATGCTTTAGTTGATAGAATGATTTACATTAGTAGTTAAAATAGGGCGTTGTAGTCTTTATTTAACATCTTCACAGACATTTCCAAAACCAAAATTCGTTAGCAGTTCTTTGTCCCCAGGTTAGTAAAGTAGTTCTAATGAAATTGTCTGCAAATTGCCTTGACGTGTTAGATACGAGCTTTGGCATCTCAACCAGGTCTGATGTGATGGAGATCTGTCTAGGTGAATTGTTATATTACTCAAGGACTGGAACCTTATAAAACAGTGGCTGGGGAAATAGTTGTATGTTATAGTTCATTAATTTTAGAAAATTTGTGAAATCGATTCTAGTTCTAACACTTCATAAGATGTTTTGAAACAACAGGTCAAGTACTCCATCGTTATCCTCTCCTCTCCTTTGTGTCATTCTTACCGTGCTTGATTGTCCATTTTCTCTTCCTGTTCGTGGACGTCAGTCTGTAGGGCCACTGAGGGTTCCTGAATGGCTTGTATGTCTTTCATCTTGGCTAGAAGAGAAGTCTCTTTTCTTTCCTGTGAAAACAAATCATGACATTAGGCAATGAATATAGCTGAGGTTCAAGGCAGATTCTCTTTCAAGTGACCTCACCTGTTAATCTACCTTAAAGCATCTGCCAGATTTAATGATTTCTTTACCAAGCTGTTGCCAAAACCAAGATTCTAATGGGAATATGTAAGTACTGACATAGCCAATACTGATATTGGCTAAGGATATTAGACAAATCAAGGTGAAAGTATGTAGCATTCACTGGAATGAGCTGAAGAGGTGGGGCAGTAACCCAGCAAAGCCACCTTTGTGACTACAACTTTCACATCTGGCCAACACTGCCTGTTAGAACACTATGAGGTAATGTCTCCATAGTTACAAAGTTCCAGTCTCTGAACAGCTACCATGTTGACGCTGCACCTGCTTTGCAGTTTGCAGACATTAAATAATGTAACTTGCTTTTGGGAGACCCGTATATCCCACCAGACAAACTTTGCCACCCAAATGTTTGATACCCTGTTTTGGATTTCTGAAGGTCAAGGCTAGTACGTGAATATGGGGGGAATTAATCACTGTTTTTAATTGTTTATTTAAAAATTGTTTTTTGTTTGTTTTTGTTTTGTTTTGACAAATGCTCTTTGAACATATGAAAACAGCCAGGCAGCAGGAAAAGAAAACTTGTATACTTTTAAGGCAAAAGGAAACCTGTTGGGAGAAACAGTGAAATCAAAACCAGGAGACCTAAATTCTTCTCTTAGTTATGCCAGCAGCATGATTTAGAAGAAATAAATTAATACAGATTCTACTCTGAGTAAAAGACCCACACAATGTTTCATGACAATGATGGTAAGAGAATAAAATTAACACATATGAAGTAGATAATTGTATATAGTAATAAGATATATTAATGACAGTAATTACTAGTCGGGTAAGTTCATTCAATAAATCTTTAAATGAGCAGCTACTATGTACCAGGAACTGGCTAAGTACTATGAATAAACAATTCCTACTGCAAGGAATAATGATAAAATACCTTCCAATGTGGATTTGAAAATGACTTCCATCTTAGAATGATGAACGGTATTTAAATACAAAGGACCATGAACAAAGTAACTTTTAATACCTCAAAAAGATAAGAAGTATATCACACAACGAGGCAATTAAGCTAGAGGAGGATAAACTTTTTTTTTTCTTTTTTTGTGAGGAAGATCAGCTCTGAGCTAACATCCATGCCAAGCCTCCTCTTTTTTGCTGAGGAAGACTGGCCCTGAGCTCACATCCGTGCCCATCTTCCTCCACTTTGTATGGGATGCCACCACAGCATGGCCTGACAAGTGGTGCATCGGTGCATGCCCGGGATCCGAACCCTGGGCCGCCAGCAGCAGAGTGCGCGCACTTAACTGCTATGCCACGGGGCCGGCCCCCAAGCTAGAGAAGGATAAACTTTTGACTATGTTTTCTCCATCTCAGAGATGAAGCACAATTCCTTATCAGTGTTATGGGCCAATTACGTAAATATAGCATCAAGAGATTTATAAAAATATACTTATGCTTAGAAAAGAATTAAAAATGGATTTATTATTTCTTACCACGATCCCAGTTTCCCTAACTCTGCCTGTCTGGATGGTTTCCTAGCTGTTAAATATTTCTGCACTTGAACTACATATGTTAGCATGAAGTCATTATGACCTCATTTGTTTTATCAGAGGGCCTATTCACATTTTCCAACATGGTTTGGAGAAACAAAATTCTGTCAACTGAGAAAAACTTTGGAAAATTTTAAATTTGTGAATATTTCAATAGTCATTCCCTATACAAGATATTTTCCTTATTTCCTTTCCCAAAATTATAGTGTATATACAACTAAAACCAATTTCCTCTTTTGCTACTGCTCAAACTAAGCCAGTAGTTTTCAATAGGGGACAAAGTGAACCATAGGGGGCATTTTGTAAGTATGAGGAGACATTAATAGTTGTCATAAACTATTGGTGGGGTGCTACTGCATTTAGTAGACAAGAGCCAGAGATGCTAGACTTTCTGCAATGTGGCAGATAATCCTATTTAGCAAAGAATTTTCCCATGTACCATATGACTTGCCAAACGTTCTTGCAGATAAAAAATAGTTTATAATTATCTGAGCCTAAAGCCTAACTCCGTATTGCATAAAAATAGAAAATATCTTTGCACACTTTTAATATATACCAAATTTTCCAGGAAGTAACTATTGTCTACACTGAGGGCAGATTGGATATTGGTTTGTTCAGAACTTTTCCAAGAGTTGTTCACCAGTTTAGAAAAATTACATCCTCAGGGGCTGTCCCAGTGGTGTAGTGGTTAAGTTCAGGTGCTCTGCTTCAGTGGCCCAGGGTTCGCAGGTTCAAATCCCAGGCACAGACCTATGCACTGCTTATCAAGTGATGCTGTGGCAGGCGTCCCACATAAAGTAGAGAGAGATGGGCATGGATGTTAGCTCAGGGCCAATCTTCCTCAGCAAAAAGAGGAGGATTGGCAACGGATGTTAGCTCAGGGCTGATCTTCCTTACCCCCCCAAAAAATTTACATCATCAATGTCAATACAACTTGGTAGAATTGATGTGAACATAGGTAATAACAGTAGCAACAACAACAACAACAATAGCAAAATCAACCTGAATCTGATGAATCCTCTAACTTACATAAAGCACAGTCATGTGCCTCATAACGATGTTTTGGTCAATGACAGACCGCATCTACCACAGTGGTCCCTTAAGATTAGTACCACATAGCCTAGGTGTGTAGTAGACTATACTATCTGAGTTTGTCTAAGTACACTCTATGATGTTTGCATGACGAAATCGCCTAAAGACATATTTCTCAGAACATATCCTTGTCATTAAGCAACGCATGACAGTACAGACAACAGAAGAGCACATTAACTAATAGATTAAGAGATTTAAAAGAAATCCTTTGCAATTGATTCTATAACTTATGTCCTAATTCAAGTAAACTGTAAAAAATGTATGAGGCATTGGAAATTTAAGCATCCTGGATATTTAATGATATTAAGGAATGTTAACTACTTTAGGTATGGTATAGCACTATGATTGTGTTTTTTAAAAAGAAATCTTATCATTTAGGGATATATACTGAAACATTTACAGATAAAATGATATGATTCTGGATTTGCTTCAAAATTATGCAGAGAGTAGGGAGTGGATGGAGATGTAGATGAAAAAGATGGGCCGTGACTTGTAATTGTGGAAGCTGGGTAATGGGTACGTGGAGGTTCGTTATGCATCATGTCTTATTTTTTTCTGTAAATGTTTGAAATTCTTCACAGTAAAAAGGCTAAGACAGGGAGGATGATTTGGGGATGAGTAGACTTCAAACATTGATGGGATCATCATCATCGCTGTCTCTAGCTCAGGAAGGATAGAGTCAAGCAAGAACTGAAAGGGAAAAGCAGAAACACTTACTGCTTATGAAGTGCAATACTCTTTACATGGATTCTTTCACCACAGCTTTGGAGGATGGAAATTTCCCCATTTTCCCAAACGAAGAAGCAGAAGTTCAGAGAGATGAATACCTCTCTCTGAGGTTATATGGCCGGTAGATGGCAGAGCCGGGATTGGGTCTCACATCCGTTTGTTACAAAGACCCCTTCGCTGTACCACTCCCTGTTTCTCTGCTGTAATTCCCGTCCAATAGCTTCCTAACTCCTTTCATGGTAACTGCCTAACCACTCATCCACTCCTGCACTAGCTGTGTCCCGATCTCTCTCTCCAATCACTCTCTCCTCCAGCTTCCCGACCCTGTGTCAATTCTCTCCTTGGCCTTACCCTCTGTTGGGAAAACACCAGAATTTTGCATGAGAAATTGAAGCCTCATAAGAGTAAATATAGGATAAAATAGGATGATGAAAACTGAGTTTTATATAGTGAGCTTTTACCTTGATTAAGAAAAAATTAAAAATGGCAAAATACCATATTCAGCAACTTAAAAAAAATTACAATGTATATAATTTTTAAAAAGCTGAAAAACACAAAGAAGAGCCTTTATGCATTCTAGTCCTCTGTCTCCACATATGGAGAACATTTGCACAGTAGGGTATTTTATTAAATCAGTAATATAAATAAAATGCCTTGTGTGAATGAAGACTGTATACATAAAGAGAATTTTTCTCCCTTCTCAGGCCATGGGTGGGAATTTCCAAATTGAGTAATATGCAGTTGAGGATTATAATTTAAAACATGACATGTTCCACTGTCTAAGATTCCAAGAGTTTGCATATATAGTAATATAGTTTCGTATTTGCACCCATATAAATATAGTATAAATTCCTATTGTAAAGCATCTTGCTAGTGTAAAAACGTAGTGGGTTGATTCATTTCCTTCACACAGATTCACATGTAAATAACACAGCCTCAAACACAGATGCTATTATTTTACCTTGAAGTCAGGGTCACGTTAAGGTCCTACTGGAGTTGTTCACAGAGAAGATAAAGGACAATTTACTGGCAGGTTCAAGTTTCAGATAGTTTGTCCAATTAGCCTTCCTGGGCCTCCCCAGTCACCAAATTCTGTTGCAAAACATCACTAAGGTCTTAGATCTGCATGTGTAATACCAAGTGTCAAACAATGGTTTGAATCCTCAGACATTCATATCAATCTCAGCAATGGTTGATAAATAACTGCATAGTTACTTCACACATAGGGTACGTGTATTTGAGGCTTAGCTTTTACCCATGAATCTTTTCTATTCACGTTTTTTAGAGGAATATAAAACTTATTAATCTAAGACAGGGCATCTTGGGCTTGTTCAGGGGGCAGTGATCTAGAACATATGATCTTATTTGCAGAACACCGCGTTCTTTGTAAAATATTTTAAAAAATACAAATCAATATATTTTTTATTTCATTTATACACTATTTTTATATATTTTACTAGCAGAAAGAAATCCACCCTAAATTATTTGTATACCATATAAAATCACAACCATCAGTTCACACGTCTTAAAACAAAAAACACCTAACAAACTGTTGAACC